AATATTGCACTGGAGCGTCGAGAAGCCAAAGCAGAAGGAAGAAATCAAGACATTAAGGAGCTGAGCAGGAGATTTCAAGAGGCTGTGTGACAAGACAAAGTAAAATATTATAATGAAATGTGCAAAGAGCTGGAGTCAGAAAATCAAAGAGGCCGAACTTGCTCAGCATTTTTTTAAGAGTTTTATTTTACTAATTTTAATAAACATTTACTGAGATTTTGGAAAAAAAAAAAAAAAGAGAGTTGGACAGTGACCAGGGAGGATAAAAGGAGAAATGATGCCTTTGAGCTGTGGTGCTGGAGAAGAGCATTGAGGGTCCCATGGACCACTAGGAAAACAAACAGATTCATCCTGGAGAGGATTAAACCAGGATGCTCTTTGGAGGCAAGGAGTCTGGGACTTCGTCTGACATAGTTTGGACATGTTGTGGGGGGGGCTGGTCCTTAGAGAGGGACATTATGCTTGGGAGTGTAAAGGGACAGCGTAGGAGGGGAAGACCCTTTATGAGGTGGATTGATTCAGTGACTGGGGTAATCAGGATGGGTATTTCAGAGGCAGTGTGATTGACACAGGATAGAGCAGGGTTTAGGGCCGTTGTACATAGGGTCGCTATGAGTTGCAAGCGACTCGATGGCACATAACAAGATCATGTGATCTGTTGTCTTTGAACAAAAATAATTTGTTCCCCTTTATATTTTTTGGATTTCACAAAGAGCCCTAGAGAGATATTTTTGTTTAGGTTTTTTTTTTTATCCCTTTTTTAATTATTCATTTACTCTTCCACATTTTCCTCCCTTCCTCCCAATTCTCCTTGTAAGTCATATGGTTTCTAATCAACCTTTCCTTCTAGAATGTCCTTCCCTTCACTCCTTCCAGTGCTTAACTTGTTGCAGTTTAATAGTTTGAGTTTTCTAATTGTTAAAAGATTTCATTTATGCATACTTTAAAGTTTCATAGTGATGTGAGTGGTTTAAAACTAGCTCATTAGAACATTGTCTAGTAATATTTAAGTACTTTTAAAATTTGCTTTATCAGAGGGGTCCACAAATTTTTAAGACATGTTAGAGTTTATGTACTTGGAGAGTGACATTGGTTCATTAATTCACACAGTGTAAGACAGATCAGATCAACAACTTAAATGCTAAAACCACAAAACTTTTAGGAGAAAACTAAAACCATAAATAATGAAAGCAGGACTCAAGCAGATACTTATACACTAGTGCTCAGTCAATGCAGCATTATTCTCAGCAGCTAAAAGGTTAAAACAGCCCAAGTGTCCATTGGCAGATGACGGTATGAACAAAGTGATACACATATATGAAGTATCTAGAATAGGCAGGTGCATAGAGGGAAATGTTTAGTCATGATTACCAGAAGAGTTATTTAAGGGGCCCTGCACTTCTTTCTGTTAAGCCTGATGAACAATTTGGATACCTGCTGGTTAGGGTTGTAAAAGTGATGAACTGTACAAATGACAGTATTTTGTGATATTTTCTCCAATAAAATGATTGCTTCTGTTGGAGACAGACCAGATATATTAAGTATCTTGTAGTGTTTATACCTAACCCACTCTACCACCGAGTGAGTAGATTCTAATCAGGGCAGCCCTGTTGAATTCCACCACAGCGTTTCCAGAGCTCTGATCTTTTCCAGAAGGAGACCGCTTCATCTTCCTTTGAGCACCTGATGGGTTCAAATCAGTAATATTTTGATTAGCACATAACTGTGTTAATTACAGTGATAACAGAGCTTAGCTTTTAAAGTTTTTCTTTAAAACTATGTAGCCTTTTAGTTTAATGATAGATACATAGAGGGGGAAAGCGAACTTTCACATTTGGCTGGATGCCTCTAGCGAGGAGCCCTGATTAAGATGATTGCCTACCAGCTTCAACGTTGATGGTTTGAAACCAGTAGCTGCTCAAAGGGAGAAAAGATTTACATCTTCAAACACCCAATTGGGCAATTCTTCTCTGTCCTATAGGGTGATTATGAGTCTGTATCTTGACACAGAAGAGGGTTTTATAGTGTGTGTAGAGATGGAAAATTTGGTGAGTTGAAAATTCAGATGAGGGGTTAGACTTCTCTCTTACTGGATTTGTATATATCCTAAAATGCATTGCTGAAAACTGAAAGTCTGACTGACAGTTTTCCCCATGTCGGAAGTAGAAATACAAAGTTGAAATAAATCATCTATTGCTTTTTTTTCACTGACTAAGAATCCCGTGGTAAATCTCAGTTAAGCCCAACAAACAATTAACACACAACACTTAAATGTCTAATTGCTCGTGTAGTCTATTAAACCTTATTTTAAAATCCTAAAAAGTAATATTACATAAACCTTGGGCTGCAGAAAGCATCTCTGGTTTTATTATTATTCATGAAAATTTACAGAGACTTTGGATTTCCATTTATTCATTGTTGCACTTTTCTCCCTGCCCACCCCTCCCCCCTGTACACTCTTCTCTTTGAAAAGTAAAAGAAAAATTCATTCATTATTTTACAGTCCCTCCTCCCAGGCCCACTCTACTATGCAACCTTCATTCTGGACTCCTGTCATGACAGTAATACCTAATCACATATCCCTTTTAAACAGTTTTCTCCCTCATCTGTTTCAGTGCAGTATACTTTATTCATCCCATCTTTTCAGTCTCACCCCAACCCTGATGTCAGTCTGGTTTTACAACGGTGGCACTAAGCAATATTTGTCTTTCTGTGACTGAGATATTTCACTCAGCGTAATGTCCTTACGTGTCACCCATTTTGAATAATATTGCATGAGTTCCTTGGTTTTTCAATGCAGCGTAGTATTCCATTGTGTGAATATACCACAGCTTTTCTATCCATTTGTTTGTTGATGGACACTTAGGTTGTTCCCAACTCCTTGCTGTCATGAAGAAAGCCGCAATAAACATGGGTGTGCAAGCATCTCTGTTTTTTAAAGGTCGACAAATATCTTTACTAGTAAATGAATTTCTGAAAATAAGGTAATTTTCCATTTAGTAAAAAAAATTTGTAATAAAAGTTTATTCCCAGAGTCCCAAAATCTTGACTGTATAGCTTATAACATTTTTTCAATCCTCTTTAGAGTTGTCTCTGTGGGAAGTTTGTCCTCCGTCCATTGCGATCATGCCGCAGATACTCCACTTCACGCAGTTCTGGGTATGTACTATATTTCTCTAGCTAGGCTTCTAAGGGTTGTGTGCCGGTGATGGGGTGCATATGTGTGTGTGTCCTTGGGTACAGGCATAACTGCTTACCTCTCCTTTTTTAAAAAGGGTTTTGGAGCTGTTTTCCTATGTGGGTGAAAATGTACTGTGATGTGAATGATATAGCAGACCCCTTTTCATGTGCTTTCTGCCATTTTCTTGCAAATAGATTTGTATTCAAAACACAGCAAGTTGTGACAAAAAGAATTTAAAATTTCATGTCATGTTTATATTATATTTTAAAAGGGTACATTATTTTTTTATAAAATGTTTATTTTGCTAAAGGAAAAGCACTCTGAAAGTTAGCAAAAATTCTATTTATGTTTGAAGATGATGTTCTAAGTATTAAATGACAATTTGCATTATTATTTCTAGTTTACATATTATTATTTCAAAGTTTTGTCAGTTTCCTATAAATTAGCACCCTGGTGGCAGTTAAGCACCCAGGTGGTAACGGAAAGGTTACAGCTTCTCTGTATGCCTGCTTCTGTAAAGGTGACTGTCTTCAGAGCCCTCTGAGGCAGTTCTCCGGACTGCAGGGCCACTGGGAGTTGGGATTGACTTGATGGATATAGGGTATAAATAAATAACACTTCTATTGCAAAAATACTACTTTTATTGTAAATATGTTAAAAACAAATTGGAAAGATGATTCATGGCATTGGTGATAAAATTGGCTACTGCGTTGAAATTGGTGGTATGAAGTAGTGTCAGCTGTCTCTGAAGCACTTTCATTTGCCTGGGGAGATAAAGAGGAGAGCCAAGAATTGAAATCATTGTGTTTCCAATGTCTTTTACTTAGATTGACTGCTGGCAAAATTGCTGGAGCTGGCCTTTTGTTTATCGGTGGCGGCGTTGGGGGCACTGTCCTCTATGCCAAATGGAATTCCCATTTCCGGGAAAGTGTAGAGAAAACTATACCTTACTCAGACAAACTCTTTGAGATGATCTTGGGTTCTGCACCCTACAGTGTGCCATTGCCAAAGAAGCCGGTAAGTTGTGTTTTTTTTTGTTTTGTTTTGCCTTTTTTTTTCTGTGTGTATTTATAGAATACGACCATATTATCACATACAATATTATTATATACACACACGTACATAAGGACCCATACACATAAGTGCACATACACACAGCACACACACGTAAAGACAGAAAAAACTGGAATACACGCCCTAGGTATCAACGTGCTTGGCACTCGGGATGCTCTCTAGAATATGTAACTTGGTCAAGCTATCTTGGGAGGAAGGTGGATGCTCACCAAACTTCCCTATTCAACCTGAGAAGCCGGTAAGGTTTTAACCAGATTTCAGTTTATATTATGGAATAATTTTAAAATAAGATTGTTTGCTTTTTCAAGTTGAAAATATTTTATATGCATAATTTACTACAGCTTCCCAGCTGTATGTTTGTGAGCACTCTTTAAGCTGAACTGACAGTCATGTGTGTCGATGTATTTTTTTTATCCTTTTGTGATCCCAGAAGTGCTTTCATCATATGTACTCTGCTGAAAATGTTTGTACTGGTTTGAGGGTGAATGGGAGAGGCTCTTCAGGCAGGGTCTGCCTGCACCATGATTTACAACTCTGTTGTGTTGCTAGTTCAATGGAAGGCAGTTTGAATCCACCAGCTGCTCTGCAGGAGAAAGGTGGGCAGTCACCTCCTGTGCGATTTGCAGCCTCTGAAAGCCCAATAGATAGGTAGAGTCAGTTCTGACTTGACAATACATAACAACAAATATAAGATAAAATGGGCATGACATAGAACTTGCTTAAGCTAACCAGATAACCCAACCGTTTTAGACCCAGAACTGGATCTCCAAAACTTCAACTAGTACTGATTGGTTGACAGATTTATCTTTCAGTAAAGCCACTTTGTATTCATTCTTCAGAGTTTCACATTTAGATGCCACCAGGCATACCAATTTTTAAAAAAAAATTAGTCTCAAATGTTTCTTCACTTACCCAAAACCGGCCGAACCTAGTGCTACCAAGTTTATCCAGACTTACTGCAGCCCTGTAGGAACTAGTAGAACTCTGCCCCATGGGGTTTCTGAGATTGTAAATCTTTATGACAGCAGACTGTCACATCTCTTCTGATGTGGGGTTCAAACCACTGACCATTTTTGCATAGTTGCCATGCACAATAGTCACTATATCACCATATTCATTCAAATAAAATAAAAGATAATATGAATTTCTGGTTGAGTTACTGTTACGTATTTCTTTACCTTGGACGTGGCTGATTAGTTATTTTTTTGGATGCTTACATAGACTACATTGGTTCTTCAGTGTCTGGCAATGGCGTCTAGCTTTAATCCATCTACATGACCCAGGAGAAGTAACCCAGGAGCAGTTCTAGGACGGAATTAAGTCCATCATCAGTTCAGAGCAGAAGTTCTTTGCTACTCGCATGGCTTCCAGTGGAGTTCTTCTTATCTCTTTTGAAAGCCTTGGCCTTTCCTCACTTCACTTTAGCAAGTTGCTGAATATTTCCCCTTTGGATAACTCAGCAAGTCCCTACTTCTTCACCTCCAAACTAACAGTCAGAATGCTCCCTGCAAGTAAGCATACTGAGACTTCATCTCATACAGGATAGACATGAAACCAGTGGAGACCAGTCTCTGTAGAGGACATCATGCGTGTTAAAGCTGAGGTGAGGAGCCTCAGTCAGATGGGTTAATACAGTAGCTGCAGCAGGTTGGGTTCAGACAGCAGTGATTGTGATGATGTACAGGACTGTCATGGTGGTGTTGCATTTATCCATGGGGGTCACCAATGGGTCAGAACTGACTCAGTGAAATGGAACAAGAGTGTTTATTGCTGTTTGGCAAAACAAAAGGGAAACAACTTGAAATTCATAAATAAGAGAAAAAATGACTAAGTAATGAGCTATATAATTTATTAGAATATCATACAGAGCTGCTAAAAAAATTATTTTACCTGAAAAAAAATGCCTATTGTATGTTTATAAGTGAAAAAAGTGAGCTATGTGATAATTCATTTACTATAACCATATCTTAGTGTATATAAAGAAATGAATTATGCTTGAGAAGGAACAATAGCATTTTCAGCTTAGGAGTACTGGGAGAGAAAATAATGGTAAAACTTGGTATTACTTTTCTTGTTACAAAAGCATGTATTTAATGGTTTAAAAGAACAGTAGATTTTTTTTATTACTAAATTTTATTAATTTTAATCAACATTTACAGAGATTTTGGGTTTTCATTCATTCATTGTTGCACCATTTTCTCTACCCTCCTCCCCAGTTTGTTCTTCTTTTTTCCCCCCCTTGAAAGTTAGTTGTTTGTTTTTTTTTTGTTTTGGTTTTTTTTTTGGTTTTGTTTGAGTTATTTATTTATTTTTGAAAGTCAGTTTTAATTGTCCAATTGCCACAGTGCTTGTCAAAGCCAGTTCTGATTAATCTCCTTTGTCAGTGTGTACTTTGCCATTCCCCTATCACTCCTCCCTGAGAGAGACTTCACCCTGATTCATAAGGAAAAGGGGATGGAGTATTCTCTTAGCTACTTCCTGCTGAAAAGGGACACTGTAGGTTTCAGGGTGAAGATCTTCTCTCACTACTCTAAAGGGCCCCTTTGGCAATAGGAGACACATAGACTATTATGGAGATTGATTTTGGAATTTAGATGCACTGTTATCCATTGTGCTTAGCCGTACATGAAGAACTGTAGATTTTTTAAAAAGTGATGATAATGAACATTTTGGTAGCGACATAGTTCAGGTCCCCCCCCCCTTTTTTTTTTCTTCTAAATTCTCTCTTGAGTATTTGAGTTGTCATCTAAGAATATCTGACTTTCACTGCCAGTATCTGGCAAAAATCGGATTAACTTTGGTGGAAAATATAGGTATTTCTATTACTCAGTCCTGCTAATGTTTTAACTAAGTCAGAAAGGAACTAGAAAAGGAAAACAACAGACATTACACAAATTGGATCATATTCTTAGTGGTGGACATATGTGGGAGAGTCCTGGAGATTAAAGAAATTCGAGCATATACAGAACAAATTATAAGTTAGAAAAGAACAGCAGTGTTGAAGATGTAAAATTTTATAGTAGCCTTCTCATTGTTGCAGTTTTAAAAGAAATAGTGCTTAGAGATTAGAGTTCTAGATCATTCTATTATATGCTCTAAAGAGGCTTTTCTGACAGATTGACAAAATATAATGTAGTTATTTGAAATTAAAATTTTGAGCTGTGTTTTTCTAAGTAATGATAACTTCTTTTAACTATGGCATATAAAATACATATTGTTGTTAAGCTTTGCGAAATGCATAATGTTATTAAATTAAAAACCTGGCTTTTGAAATGCTACAAATTACTGAATGTTGCTTTTCTAAAAACTCTGCTAGTTGTGAAATGTTAAATGTTTTCCATTTCCAAGATTCAGTCTGGTCCCCTAAAAAGCCCTAATGAGGTGGTGAAAGGATCCAAACAGCCTGCCTCTTATCTCCAGAAACAAAAAGAAGACACTCCAGCTTCCAAAACAGGTATCTTTGTTTAGAACTATTTTTTAAAAATAAGGCAAATGAGTTTAAGAATTTATTAAGGTCCCTCCCTTGACTGGCTCTTCTGGTCCCCAGTCCTCCCCCGGTGAAAGAATAATTCCCACCTATCCTTTGTGCTTTCATTTTAACAATCAGGTGAGATGTGAAGGTGACTTTGTTTTGAATTAAGTGAAGGAGCTCTGGTGGCTTGGTGGTAAGAAGCTGCACTGAAATCCCAAAGGTGCATAGTTTGAGTCCACCAGCTGCTGCAGGGAAGTAAAATGGTGGATCTCCTTTGCAATTAACTGCAGCTGCCTTTGAAACCCACTGGAGGGTCAGCTCCGGGTTGGTTCTGACTCACCAGCACACAACAGCAGCAGCAACAATTGGCACACAACAGCAGCAGCAACAATTGAGTGAAGTTGTTGGCGTGAATAATCTTGCCAGTGAGACTGTTTCTTTTCCCTTTATATCTTTTTTCTTCCCTTTGCTTTCTTTGATTATGTTTTCAGATGGAAGTCTCTCTTTTTTCTTTTTTCCAGCAGATATTGCTTTTGAATGTTAACAGTATTCAGATACTCTCCTAATCACTAGGAAGTCAAGAGAGAAAACAAACCAACCAAAACTGCCAAGTATTAATAGGATAAAGGAAGAGAGAGCATATATAAACAAGAAAATACATAGGATGCCATTCAGTGATAAGTGTAGGAGTGAACCTTACTGTATTAAGTAGAGTAGGAGAGGAAAGCTTCTCCTGGAATGTGTCCTTTGAATGAAAACCAGATGGAGATGTGTGGGCATAACCTGGGGCAAAGTTCCTAGGCACAGTGATTGTTCCATACAAGGCTTGGCTGTGTGTACTCAGATAAAGAGCCAGTGTGGGTGGAGTTCAGGGGGAGGAGCAGAGAGGGCAGAAAGCCTGTCTTCCCCAAGTGGGAAAGCCTTTTTATTCCACGGGAGATGGCACGCTTTGGAGGTTTTGTGAAAAGGGTTGATTGCTTATCTACAAATTCTTGCCCAATAGCAGTGGCTACTGTAAATAGATCAGAGGGAAGCAGAGCCTTAAAAGGCCTTGGTAGTAATCCTGTTTGTTCTCTCTTACATATGTCTTCAGTCTCTTTTAAATCCTTTTTCTCCATTTATTTGCTTCTCCTCCCCACTTAATCTCTAGATTTATTGTTGTTGTTGTTGTTGTTTTGTACGGTTGGTTGAGTAGGAACGGACCCATAGAAGCAGTTAATTGCAAGAGAGGAGATTTCTCATCCTTCTCCTGCAGAGCAGCTGATAGATTCAAACTATCACTCTTCAGGTGATATCACTGTTCAGATTCAGCACTGCACTCTTCAAAGCAACTAACAAAATGTTTTTGTTACTTACGTCTGTCTACTTTTGTCAGTACAAGCTATTTTTCCTTTGTTATTTTTCTTGGCTTGTATAAATCTTATGTCTACTGTTCATAAATTAAGCATAAGTACTGTTTGGTCTTGTTACCAGATAGCATAACTGGCCTAGGTAGCCTAGTGATGCTTGAAGCTCACAAGAGTTTGCCCAGCTGTTGTCTGTTCTGTGTGAGTTTGCACGTGCAGTGGGCAGTCTGTGTTTAAATAATGGCTCCACCTGCAGCACCTGGGTCTTTGAGGACTCAAACAGGAAGTGTGTGATAGCAGTAGATTATTTTTCTTTTTTTTCTGTTAAGTACGTTTCTCTGTTACGTCAGGAGATAATAAATACATCAGTAATGTATATTTATAGCACCTACAGAGGCAGCTCAAATTATTTCTGCAGCAGGTGATACTCTGTCAGTTCCAGCCCCTGCTGTTCAGCAAGAAGAAGCCGTAAAACCTGATCTCCCTGCAGCTGATGAAGGAAAACCCACGCCCGCAGTTTCAGGTAGTTTTAATTATTTAGATTTGCTGGTCCATAAATGGTGTGCCCATCAGACTTAGTTAATGACAAGACAATATATCATGACACTGTTTAAGTGTAAATTTACACTAGTTTTAAGTCTTCAGGCTTCCTTGGGACATTTTTCCGAAATAAATCTTTCAAAACTAGGTGGGTAAGATGTGTGGTCCATTCTCTTCATTTTGGAATTACTAAGAATCATGATGGAGTTTGTTTTTTTCTTTTTTATTTTTTTATTTCAGAGGATATTTATTGTTGAAGAGTTTAATGTAACATACAGAATCAATAAAGAAAATTTTAAATAACTGAATGGATGGATGTTGTTGTTGATTGCTGTCGAGTTGAGATCTCGACTCATAGAGACTCTATGAACAAAACACCTAATGCCTTTCCATTGATATCATTGTTTCTCCAAGTTCATAGAGTTTCCAGAGGCATGTGGTTTACAAAATGAATGCCACTCCTGCCTCCCAACCTGTTTTAACAACTGGAAGCGCCACCAAACACTGTGAAATGGGACAGTGATAATGACAATGGGAAACTGTTCTCATATTTGATATCCCCATGGCACAAGGTTCAGCATCATGCAAACCCAGGTTACCTCAGATAGCATATTGACAAAGAGTGATGTGCAAAGTGGAAGAATGTTCCTTCAGATGTAACAGCACTAGTTTCATTTAGCAGTGGTTGAGTATTGTCAAGTCGAATATGACTCAGACTAAGCTTTGTACAAAAGACCTGAACTCTGTTCTGTGATGAACATCATTTCTGTACATGTATAAGCGAGTTTGTAGAGTTTGCAGAGGCATCTAGTTTAGGAACATGATGGAGTTTTAAGATTCCTAACTGCAAATTACCCTTACTTGATTTAACTGGCACATGCAAATGATGGTGTTTTTATATACCTATTACTTATATTAAAATTCTGTGCTGAAATTTTATTTCCTGTCATTTACTTCTGCCGCAAGAGGAGGCATCCTCATCTTCTGTCAGAGAACGACCTCCTGAAGAAGTGGCAGCCCGCATTGCACAACAAGAAAAGCAAGAACAAGTTAAGATTGAGTGTATGTAAGCCAGACATCTCAAATGCTGCGGTCATCTGTCGGTGTCCTCTTACCCATCAGCACTCTTGTCTTACTTATTACTCTTTGGCTCACCATGGCTTCCTTTTCTTAAGTGCCATTGCTCCATTTTCTCTCCTATGTTCTTTCCATCTGAGCTTCCAGGTGACAGCACATTACATTGTGTTGTTGAGAATTCCATATAACCCGTAATGCTTTGACCAATTGTTTTTGTTATGATCAGTGCTTAAGTCTTCTACCTTCAGTGGATCCTGTTTCCCTCTAGTTTGGGTTTTGAATTCTTTGAGAAGCCAAGTTTTTTAGGATTGTGTAAGAAGAAGGACTGGTTAGAGTGAGCATGCATGTAAGAACATCCCTGCACCACTAGACGCTTTGCTGGAGAAGGACAGACAATCTCCTCCTGTACCAGTCAGATCTGATTTGATGGTACACACACACAAAATAATAAAATAAAAATGAAAAGAACATCCCTGTGACTGCAGAGTTTGTGGAGCTTTACATTCTTGGCTGTATTGCCTATGGTTGAGAGTGTTGGATAAGTCAGTTCTGAAAGAAGTGAAATATTTTCGTGCTTTTTTCCTTTTGTACTTTTGTACTATCTAATAAATTTTCTACCTCTTCAAATTGAGATTACTTTTTCTCCCTTCATCATGTGAACACTTTGGAATAAGACAAATAAGATAGTGTATCTTTTTCTAGTTCCTTTTAATTTTTATTCTTGATCAAATGAGCTTTTTCAGGATATTTTCTATTGCCGCTTAAATTTTTCACATGTGTATATGTGTGTGTTTTATAGCACAGTGCTTGACATCTCTTTACTTTGTATCCAGGGCCAACAGACAATGGAAGGCTTAAAGCACTGGGCAGCCTTGCTGCTGGTCTGTTTTTTTGATCTTTGGGTCTCTGTAGATGCAGCTCATTATCTGCACATGGTTTTTCCATCATCAATTCAAGTGTGTCATGGGAACCAAATACCTTGTATTCTTCCCCTTACCCTGTTCTCTCTCTCTCTGTGTCCCCTTCCTTTGCTGTTGAACTTTGATCCTACTTTTATTTTTTAGTGTTTTCTTATCATTAGCTTTTGCCTCCTCTTTGTGTTAGAGAAGTACCTTTGCATTTTGTCAGGTTCCATGAATTCACCTCTCTGCAAAGTCAGTGTCAGAATCTGCTTGTGCTATATATAGCTCAAGATCTCCTTTTGTCCTCATCTGTCTAATGTATTTTCTTCTTATATTGTCTGTGATATCAACTGTTATTACTCAATTATTTGCACTAGCTACCTTCCTTCAAGTGAGGATTTTCCATTTTATCATCTGCATTTATCCATCACTTTAGTCCTTTTTTTATTTTGAGGTTTCTTTTTGATAATCATCTTTAGACCATCTGTTCCCAAACTGCCTTTTCTTTTTTGTTTTCATGTTTGTCTTTTTCTTTTCTTTTCTACCTTGGGAGCTTGGGTGGTAGAGTGGTTAACATGGTGCTGGGCTTCTAACCAGTAGGTTAGTAGTTTGAATCCACCCAGAGAGGAAAGAACTGGTGATCTGCTTTTGTAAAGATGACAGCCCTACTTCATCGTTTTGGGTTGATGGGAATGAAACAATGGTTCAGTAGTAACTAACAGCAGCAGTAACATCTGTCTTGGTCATAGAAGTATTCAGCTGTCCCTTTTGAATGAGGGGATGGAAAATAGTTACCTCTTTTCCACAGTGGATCCCTGTGATTAAAATGAGAAATCCATTGTTCATGCTGCACTGATAGCCTGTTAGGGCACAGCAGCCAAGTGCTCAGCTGCTGACTGAACCATCAGCCATTCCCACACACCAGCTGCTCAGAGGGAGACAGGTGTGACAGTGTCCTCTCTGAAGACAGCGGCCTCACTACACAGCAGGCAGGTCACCTCTGCCTGCAGCCAACTGGGACTTGGTGGACTCAGTGGCCATCCAGGAAACTTGGTGGTTTCCTTTTGTTGTAGTGTGTCAAGTACACTAGAGAGTCTTAAACCTAGCTGCTTTATCATCTTTACTCTTTCTCTCAACAAAACCCAAAAAAAAACCCCAACTAAGTTTTTTTAAAGTGACACATAAAAGATTGATTAGAAAGTTACATCCCAAAGCTGGGATGGATCTTCTACATTAGAAATGAAATATTGAGGAGGCCAGACATCACAGTATTTTGAAGAAATCCAAATACCCATAAAAGTAAAATAATATAATGAACCACCACATGCTTATCAACCAGATTCAGTAATTATCTGTATTTTACAATTTTAAGTGAAACTTTCATTCTGTAGATTTGATTATGTTTTGTTCCCTATTTTCAACATTTTTGAGAAATACAGTGGAAGAGCTAAAAGAGAAGGAAAGAGGAAAGGTTTAAAATAAGAACCATATTTGGGTGCAGGGATCTGGTTTTTAACAGGTTTTTTTTTATTTCTCCCCAGCTATAGCTAAGAGCTTAGAAGATGCTTTGAGCCAAACTGCACGCACCACGCTCCAGGCCATTGCTGCTCAGAATGCAGCCGTGCAGGCTGTCAGCATGCATTCCAGTGTGCTGAAGGCGGCCATGGACAATGCGGAGGTGAGCCCTGCCGTTAGTAGATTGTGTCCTCATAGTACGGATTGTCTGTCACAAGTGCGGACAGGTTAGAATAGTGACTTTTAAAAGAGACTGGTAAAGCTTCTCTTTAATAAAGTTTATGAATAGTCTTCTGCAGAATCATTATATAGAAAGGAATTGGCAGATACAGAGGAATTTAAAGAAATAACATATGAGCAAGAGCCTATGGTGATGAAGGAAGAAGTTCAA